TAACAGTACCAGATAGTGGCAAGGATATAGAGCAGCTGTAACTGATATATTGGTAATGTATGTAGAAATGAGCATAACCACTTTGGAAAACTTCAGCATTTTATACAGCTAAGCATAGACCCACCCTATGATCCAGCCACTTTACTTCTAGATATTTACTCAAGTAAAATGAGAACCTTTGTAAAAACACTGAACAGTGATAGAATATATTCAAGTACTCATGGAACATTTTCCAAAAATTATTGTATTTTGGGTTATTTTTCAGAATATATTCTTATGCTAGAAATCAATAAGCAGTACATTTCAAAAGGATCCTGGGTCAAAAATTACAGTGGAAATTAGGAAATACTTTAAAGAGAATTATGATGAAGATAACACATACTAAAAGTTTTCAGATGCCACTAAGGCCTTGACTCCATTCAACAGAAAAGAAAGAAAGACTGAAGATCAGTGTTTTGACCTTCTATCTTAAGAAGCCTGGGGAAAACTGCAAATCAAATAAGAAAAAAAAAGTCATAGAGATAAGTGTAGAAATCAGTGAAGTATAAAACAGATGTACAACAGAGAAACTCAAAGCCAAAAGTTGATTCTTTGACAGTTTAGTTTTGTCAAGGATGTATCACTTTTACTAATCGGTAGAAAGAGAGAAACCACAATTTATCAATATTAGGCATATAAAAGGAGCCATTACTATAGAGCCTACAGACATTAAATAAGAGGACATTATGAGCAACTTTACAGTAAAAATTTTGATGTCTTTAAAAAAGTATCACAAAAAAATTAACATTTTTTAAAAATTGAAAATTTTGATAAAATAGACACTCTTATTTTTTAAAAGAAAATTAAAATGGACACAAGAAGAAACAGAACATCCGAGTAATTGGGGCTAAGTATACAGATGTTCATTATGCAGGTACCCTTGTTGATGGGTGGGATCCCCCCCCCACCGCAGAATCCCACTACTGACAATCCTGCCCCCTGGCAATTTCCCACTACTGATAATCCTTTTCCCATAGTATTCTGATAATTGTTCAAGGTCCACTTATGCGTGAGAACATGTAATATTCAGTTCTTTGTTTCTGTGATAGATCACTCAGCATTATAGACTCTAAGTCCATCCAAGTTGCTGTGAAGTTCATAATTTTGTCCTTCTTAATGGCTGTATAATATCCCTAAACTTCTTCCAAAATATGGACCAGGTGGAAACAAAGCTTTTTGCAACAACAGGAACCACATGCTGAAGAAAAAGACTGAAATAAAACATTCCAAGATGTTAAAGAATTGTCTTTGGATGGTAAAATAAAATAAAATCGTTTTTTCTGTGTTTCTCAATGGTTTAAATTTTTTTAAATCTTCAATTTGTTTAACTTTGGAAGCCTAAGCTTTGCATAACAGGGGCCCCTTGCTGCTGAATATCCTGTTTATTTTACAAGAAAGGGTATAGAGACTCCTGAAATTTTTATGTGGCAATCCTCTGGTAAGACTGGTTTTCCTGTGAGGTGCTTTGTGTATATTTTTATTCTAACATGCCTTCTCCCCCTTTTATGTACATTATGATACTTTTGTCTTTAATTTTTAATGTTCTTTAGAGTTGTAGTTTAACAATTTTAGAATCTAAGGATGTTGACTCTCAGGAAGTTTATTCTTATATCTAGGCAAGATTTGTTTTATTGTAACCTGATCTTTTAGCCATAGTTCTGGTCTGATCTGCATCAAAAAAACATCTTTCAGTTCTGTAGTGCCCATATATATAAGCCTTTACAGGCTATCAGGTAAAAGACAAAATGGAAATTTAATTCATTTCATTTAACTGAAGACTGTATACCCCTGCTGTAGGCGTTTTATGTCTAACCTAAATCTTATGACACGCCTACCACACAGGCATAGTCAGTGGGGAATTCTTCTTCAGCAATACTACTGACCTTCTTTGAAAGCTTTTCTGCTTAAGGCTTTTGTTTTATTGCCATTTCCTACTGGATAATCTTTTCTTCTTGGATTTATACTCTTGATCTCAGAAAAAACATAAGGTCTGATTGTTTGACAGTTGATATCAGAAGACTAAATCTTGTTGTTGATAGTTGGCAAATAGTTAAATATTATTTTTTGCCTTTGTTGAAGAAAAAAATCATTTTTATTTTTGCATGGATATTATGTGATTTAACTTGAAGACAGAACCACTTTAGCAGCATTCAAAAATAATCCTGCTTTATAAACAGGAATTGATAACTGCTTTATCTCACTTAGTTATAAGAATCAAATGATATGGTTTCATTCACTCATTTAGCAGCTATTTATTGAACATCTATTAATTGATAGAAATCATGTTAGACATAGGGCGTACAAGAAACGAAAGAATCAAGAATCTTACTAGAGAGATTTGACCAACTAATGGGAAAACAGATAAATTCAATTACGTACCACATAAAGATATTTCAGTCAACAGCAGACCACATATACAATGTTCTTCCCATAAAATGACAGTAGACCTGAAAAAAATCCTATCACCTAGTAATGTAGCTATTGTAATACCATAGGGCAATCAATGCATTACTCACATGTTTGTGGTGATGGTGATGCTTGTGTAAACAAACTTGCATTGCCAGTCCTATAAAAATATAGCATGTACAATTATGTAGTATTTAATAGTTGACAATGATAATAAATAACCATGTTACTGGTATATGTATTTACTATAGTATATTTTTTATCATTATTTTAGCATGCACTCCTTAATACTTATAAAAAAAAAATTACTACAAAACAGCCTCAGGCAGGTCCTTCAGGAGGCAGTTCAGAAGAAGGCATTGTTATCATAGATGACAGTTCCACGAGTGTTATTGCCTCTAAAGACCTTCCAGTGGGACAGGATATAGCAGTGGGAGACAGTTATATTGATGCTCCTCATCTTGTGTAGACCTAGGCTAACATGTGTTTGTGTCTTAGATTTTAACAAAAAAAAAGTTTAAAAATTAAAAAAAAAATTTTAATGTAAAACAAAAATGCTCATAGAATAAGAATATAAAGGAAATATTTTTGTACAGCTGTACAATGTGTTTTAAGCTAAGTATTATTACAGACGAGTCAAGTTTTAAAAATTTAAAAGTTTATGAAGGAGCCAGGTGCGGTGGCTCACGCCTATAATCCTAGCACTTTGAATGGCCCAGGTGGCTGGATTGCTTGAGCCCAGGAGTTCAAGACCAGCCTGGACAACATAGCAAGACCTCATATCTACAAAATAATATAATTAATTGGGCATGGTGGCACTTGCCTGTAGTCCCAGCTATTCAGGAGGCTGAGGTGAAAGGATCATCTGAGCCAAGGAGGTGTAGGCTACAGTTAGCCATGATCACTCCATTGCCGTCCAGTCTGACTGACAGAGTGAGACCCTCCAACTCAAAAATAAGGAAAAAAAGTTTATGAAGTTAAAAAGTTACAGTAAGCTAAGATTATTTTGTTATTAAAGAAATTCATTGTTTGTAAATTTAGTGTAGTCTAAGTGTACAGTATTTATAAAGTCTATAGGAGTGTACAGTAATGCCCTAGGCCTTCACATTCACTTACCACTTACTAACTCATCCAGGGTACCTTCCAGTCCTGCAAGCTCCATTTATGATGCTTCCTATACAGGTATTTCATTTTTTATCTTTTGTACCATATTTTTACTGTTCTTTTCTATGTTTAGATATGCAAATTTTTATCACTGTGTTACCAGTTGCCTACAGTATTCAGTACAGTAGCATGCTGTGCAGGTTTTTAGCTTAGAAGAAACAGGCTGTATCATATAGCCTAGGTGCCTATAGGCTATACCATCTAGGTTTGTGTAAGGATACTCTGTATTGTTCACAACAATGACAAAATCACTGACGATGCACTTCTTAGAAAGTGTCCCCATCTTTAAGTGACAAATGACTGGAAATAGATCATTATAATACCCTATATTTAGTGCTGCAAGACAATGCTGCATGTGGTTAAGAACAAGGGATATATGTGTTCAAGTCTCAGCTGTGCTACCTACCAGCTGTTGACTTTGGGAAAGTTACTTCTGTAATCTTGTTTCCTCTTTGTAAAATAAGACTAATAATGGTATACACCTCATCAAGTTGCTGTGAGGATTAAATGAGGTAATATGTAAATATGCTTAATACGGAATCAAACATTTAATGTGTAGTTAATAAATGTTAGTCACTGCTATTATCATTAGAAGAAAAAAAGTATTTGGAGAAATAAGCCAATGGCTTAATGTGAACTCTAGTCATTGTTCCCTCTTATTTTGAATAGTTCTTTCCCAAGCCTCACATTATTTCTGCTTGCACCAGTCAGTACTCTCTGTGTACTAAAGGGCACTCTTTGTTCTCCTCTAGGGTTCTCTCTCTGAGCAACTCTCTTCTCTCTGCTATCTTGTCTTATGAACTCTGCTTGCCTTTGTCCCCCTGCACTCTTAGCTCTATCTCATCAACTCATGGAGCCCACCAGGTTCCACTTCAGTTTACCTGCATCGTGCCACTGCCTGGAAACTTTGAAGGCAATACTCTCTGGTGATTATAGGGCTTACTTCATTTGTTTCCCATCTGTCAGTGACTGGTGTCTTTTATTGCCTGATATCCAGTGTCTTGAAAACCATTGTTTCTTGTATGTGGTTTATACACTATTTTTTTACTTTTTGATTTTTGGGAGGTTGTTTAAGGTAGGAGAGCAGATCTGGTCTGTTACTCTGTTTTGACCAGCTTGTAGTTTTAACCTGGGAAGGCTCTTCTGCTAGGATCCTTACACAAAAAAACTCTTTTAATAGTAGCTATCACTTATTTCCCTTTGAGAAGCTATGTATATAGATGAGATACAGTATAAGCTTAATCAGCCAGCAGGAATTTTTAAAGATATTCATGGGGTTTTGAATTGATTTCCTAACTCCTTTGTTTCTGGAAATTTCTTGAGTTATTTGAATCTAGAAGCTAAATAATAATTTTATGAAATTCCTAACCATACTGTGACTTTACTCTCAGAATTAAGAAAAAGAGAGAGCAGCAACGTTATGCTGAAGAGCAGAGGATCCTAAGAATGAACTTTAAAGAAGAACCGTATTCAGGGGAGAGGATGAGTGAGATATTAGCCCAGTTACAACTTGAAGAAATAAAAGGAGTCAGAGAAAAACAACAACAGAGAGAAAAGGAATACCTAAGGTAATTTGAAAAGTTCTGCATGAAATTCTGGCTGTAGAGAAGACTGACTAGGAAGTCAGTGCTCTCATTTTTCTTAAAAAAGAATTGACTGTACCTTTTCATATTTTTCCTCATTTAGAAGATCATAACTTTACCAAATTTTTTGCTTACCTGGTACTTCTCAGGAATAGCACTGCATTTTTCCCATGCTATTTCCCAGTTCAAAGAGGAAGAGTCAAGGCACAGAGATATGAAATAGTTTTAACAGCTAAATCTGACTGTAGAATCAGAATTCATGCTCACTCTTTTTCTAGTAGTTCAGTTTGCCTAATAATACTTTGTTTTTATAGATATGTAGAAGCTTTACGAGCCCAGATCCAGAAGAAAATGCAGCTGTATAATATTACTTTACCTCCACTATGCTATTGTGGTCCTGATTTTTGGGATGCTCATCCTGATACCTGTGCCAGCAATTGTATTTTCTATAAAAACCACAGAGGTAAGTGTTTTAAAGGAGTAGCTGAGGCCTAATGGCAGTTTAAAAAATCAATAAGAGTAGTGATAATAGTAATTTACCATTTATTGAGTGCTTACTGTGTATCAGAAACTGTTATAAACCCTTTACCACACAGCTGTATGAGGCAATGAAAATAATTATGGTGAGTTACATTTCTCTTTGAGATCTGTTATCGTCTTGTCCCGATTTATGATGGGGAAATATTTTCAGCTCATTCCACTGTAGGAGGACATGGGTTCCAGGTCCTCCATTAACTGAAGATTGTTAGCATTTGCATTTTATGACCATGTAAGTTAAGACTCTGTCCAGTTGAATTCCCCATTACCCAGACATTTTAATAATATGTAACACAGACATATTACCATATATATTTAAATTAGACTGCCAATTCTGCCAGGACACATTGAGGAAAATGTGTAACAGTATAAACTCTATCAGAAGTCCATGCTAGAGAAAATGGAGTCCTTCTTATTGTCACTAACATTTCTATTTCCTGTCCATTCTTAAATATATTGATTTCAATAGTATAGAGAATATGTAGGTCTCATGCACTGGAAATACTGCCAGTATTTATATTCTTAGTGCCCCTTCTGTATGATATTAGCTTCTTAACAGTTCTGTGAGTTATGTTTTTAAAAACATATCTGATCATGTCATTTTCTTATTCTAAACCTTCTAGGGTTCCCCATTACAGCATAAAATGCATGGCATATTTTTTCTCTGGCCTCAGGCCCTATTCTAGCCTTACCAAACTTGCTATTTCCAGTGTATGCTGTATTTTTTTTTTTTTACCTCTTTTGCACCTCACACACAGTTCTCTGTAATGCTTTCTTTTTTTTTTTTTTTTTCCTTTTTTTCTTTTTTAACTCCTATTAGTCCTTCAGAATCCATCTTAAATTTTATCACTTCTGGAAGTCATTCCTTCCTCTCCTAGGTAGTATTCATTTATTCCCAACTTTATTCTGTGATGATATTTGATATATGCCTCTGGTTTTAAAGTATTACATGGCAATTTAATTATTTTTATGTCTATGTCTTCATGATTTTTTTCTGTCTCCATAGAGTGTTTATCAGGTACACTTATTGTACTCAAATATGTATTCAATGATAGTTAAAGTTAATACCTATGAGGCATGCACAGTGGCTTGCACCTATAATGCCAGCACTTAGGGAGGCCAAGGCAAGAGGATTACCTGAGCCCAGGAGTTGGAGACCAGCCTGGGCAACATAGTGAGACCTCATCTCTACAATAAGTCAAAAAATTAGCCAGGTATGGTGGCACACACCTGTAGTTCCAGTTACTTGGAAGGCTGAGATGGAAGGATCACCTGAACTCAGCAGGTCGAGGCTGCAATAGCTATGATTGTGCCACTACACTCCAGCCTGGGTGACAGAGTGGGACTCCAACTCAAAAAAAAAGTTTTTACCTGTGAAAATCTGTAGAAAAGCAGTACTAATAAGATAGAAGGTAGGAGAGCTGTTGAATTGCTTTATTTATTGCTATGCAAACCTTTATTTGCAGCATATACTTGGGCATTACATTCAGTCATCAGTTCCTGTGACATCTCTGAAGGGAACTCAGCTCTTCGAATTGCCGTTCATAATTTTGCTTCTGCACACAGACGGATGTTGAAAAATCTGTATTAAGAATCTGAAATCATAGCCGGGCATGGTAGTGCATGCCTGTAGTTCCAGCTACTTGGAAGACTGAGGCAGAAGGATCGCCGGAGCCCAGCAGGTAGAGGCTGCGGTGTCTGGGAGCGTGCCACTGTACTCCAGTCTGGGCGATAGAGTGAGACTCTAAAAAAAAAAGAATCTGAAATCTGAACTGGTAGTGTTTTAGCCTTTGTTTAAAGTAATTTAAAGTCAATTTTGAGAAATTATTTAAGAAAATCTATTAAAGTATATAAGATGTATAATCTGTAAGGAAGTACTGTCCCACATAATAACTATCTTTATAATTAGATTGTTAACCATTGTTTCAACCTCTACCTTGGAACCAAGATTGAAAGTTGACTTCTAGCCGGACTCAGTGGCTCAGCCTGTAATCCCAGCACTTTGGGAGGCCGATACAAGTGCATTGCCTGAGCCCGTGAGTTTGAGAGCAGCCCTGGCAACTTAGTGAGTCCTCCTCTCTACAATTAATCAAAAATTAGCCAGGCGTGGTAGCGCATGCCTGTAGTTCCAGCTACTTGGAAGGCTGAGGCAGAAGGATCACCAGAGCCCAGCAGCTCGACGCTGGGTTGGCCATGAGCCTGCCACTGCACTACACTCTGGGCGACAGAGTGAGTCTCCAGCACAAAAAAGAAAAAGAAAAAAGTTGACTTCCATACTTGTCTCTTCTTTGTTGTGAACCACAAGGAGCCCATTATTTTTTTAAATGATCAAACAGACAAGTAAGTCTTCTCTTACCTTGTTCTGCTGTTATCAGAAGCAATCATGAGAAATCTTTGAGATTATCTCATGTATCTTCCTAAAACTGTATTTTTGAGCTGGACAATATTGAAAATGTCTGAATGAAGCAGAAAAGAAAGGAGTAAAATGAGTTTCTGATTATCAGTAGCCATTTATTTTGCCGTTGGCTTTTCCAGTTGTGCATAAGAATTAGAGATGAGAAGAATCTGAATTTGATGTACATTTTTTCTCAAAATTGTCTTCCTTTTTAAAAAATATATTGCCTCTTTCTCTCTCCAGTGACATTGGACTTCTTAATTGTATAACTTATTGGGGGGGAAAGGCGAATAAACTCTGTTTTTGCATATCTTCTATGTGAAATAATTGTGTATGACATTTCAAAAAGTGAATCTGAAATCACAGTGAGTGTACTCCTATCTTATTTCCTTATCTTTAAAAAATCTGGTGAATTACATGACTACAAGGCAAATGGAATAAAATTGACATAGGTGGTATAAATTTATTATTTCTTCACAATATTTTCTGATACAAAACATGAAAAGTTTTAATGCTATGAATTGCAGACAGATTCTCGCAGTTTCTTTTTCTTACATTCTCTAATGTACAGTGCTGAAGAACTTAGGTTATGTTTTTTTTAAAAAAAAGCGTAAACATTTAGCCAGGACATTGAAAATAAGAGTCAAAATGAGCTGAATGAAAAGATTGACTGATTATTTAACCAGGCTAATTGTCCAGTTTAGTCAGAATCCTTAAAGTAATTATATACTTGATTCAACCTTGAAGAATTGTATTTTTTAACAGCTCTCTTGAGATATAATTCACATATCAAATACAATTCACTCATTTAAAGTAAACAATTCGGTAGTGTTTAGTATAGTCACAGGGTTATGGAACCATCACCAACCACTACCACATTTTAGAACATTTTGATCAGCCTAAAAAGAAGCTCCCATGATCCAGCAATCCCATTTCTGGGTATATTTCCAAAAGAATTGAAAGAAGAATCTCAGACAGATATTTGTATACCCATGTTCACTGTAGCTTTATTATCAATAGCCAAGAGGTAAAAGCAACCTAAGTGTCCATCAGTGGATGAAAGGATAAACGATATGTGGTATATATTAATAGAATATTATTCAGTTTTAATAGGAAGGAAATCGTGTCACACACTGCAACAATATTCTGAGTGAAATAAGGCAGTCACAAAAAGACTAATACTGTCATAAGAGGTACCTAAAGTAGTCAAATTCATAGAGAAAGTAAAATAATTGCCAGGAGCTGAGGATAGGAGAAAATGGGGAATTTTGTTTAATAGGTATAGAGTTTGGGTTTTGCAGGATGAAAAATTCTGGAGATCTCTTTCACAACAATGAAAATATATTTAACGCTACTGAACTGTACACTTAAAAATGATCATAATGGTAAGTTTCAGCTTATGTGTTTTTATCACAATTAAAATTTTTAAAATAAAAAATAAGCTCCCATACCTATTAGTAGTCACTCCCCATATTCCCTTCCCACACCTTCCTCCAATCATTGCTAATCTATTCTCTGTCCTATAAATTGGCCTATTCTGGACTTCTCATATAAATGGAATATATAAATATAAGATATTTTATGACTGAATTCTTTCATTAGCATGTTTTCAAAATTCATCTTGTGGAATGTATAGGTATTTCATTGCCTTTTATTGCTGAATAATATTTCATTCTGTGGATATATACCACATCTTATTTATCCATTCATTAGGTGATGGACATTTGAATTGTTTCGACTTTGTGGTTATTATGAATACTGCTATGAACATTTGTTTGCAAGTTTTTTTGTAGACGTATGTTTTTATTTCTCTTGGGTATATACCTGGGAGTGGAGTTGCTGAGCCCTCTGGTAGCTTATGATTGACCTTTTAAGAAACTGCAAACAATTTTTTAAGTGGCTATACCATTTTACATTCCCACCAACCGTGTATAAATGTTCCAATTTCTTCACATCTCTCCCAACATTTTCATCATTTGTCTCTTTGATTATAGTCATTTTGGTGGGTGTGAAGTGGTGTCTTGTATTTTTAATTTTCATTTTCCTGATGGCTTTTGATGTTTAGCCTCTTTTCATGTGCCTGTTGGCACAAATCTCTTTTGGAGAACTGTCTTTTCAGGTTCTTTGTTCATTTTGTAATTGGGTTTTCTTTTTATTATTGAGTTATAGGAGTTTTCAATATATCTTACAATATATATCTTTCAATATATATCAATAAATTCCTTATCAGATATATTATTTACAAATATTTTCTCCTGTTCTGGGATTGTCTTTTCACTTTCTTGGTTTCCTTTGCTGCACAAAAATGTTTAATTTCAGCAAAGTCCAAATTATCGACTTTCCTTTTGTGGTTTTGGACTTTTTTTGGTCATATCCAAGACATATCTAATCCAAGGTCACAAAGATTTACTGCTATGTGTTCTTCTAAAAGTCTTACAGTGTTATCTCTCTTATAGAGGCTTATAATCCATTTTGAGTTAAATTTTGTATATGATGTCAGGTAGGGATTCAGCTTCATTCTTTTGCATGTGGATAACCAAGATCCCAGCACCATATGTTGAAAAGACTTTTATTTGCCCCCAATGGATTGACAATATAAAGGTTTATTTCTGAACTTTCAGTTCTAGTCTACTGATTTATATGTTAATCCTTATACTAGTACAGTCTGTTTTGATTACTGTAGCTTTGTAGTAAGTTTTGAATTTGAGAAGTGTGAAGCTTCCAACTTGTTCTTTTGCAAGATTGTTTTGCTGCTCTAAGTCCCTTATATTTTCATATGAATTTTAAGATCACTTTCCTACAAAAAGCCATCTGGGATTCTGACAGGGGTTAAATCCCTATCAAATGAATTCGGGAGCTATTGATCTGATCCATTAACATGGGATGCCTTCTCATCCATTTAGATCTTCTTTAATTTCTTTCAACAATATATTATAGTTTCCAGAGCATAACATTTATACTTATTTTGTTAAATGTATTCCTAAGTATTTTATTCTTTTTGATGCTGTTGTAAATGGAATTATTTTCGTAATTTCATTTTCTGATTATTTATCACAAGTATACATACAGTTGATTTTTGCATTTATTAGTTTTAATAGTTTTTTCAAAGGATACCTTGTTTTGTATGTATATAATATCGTGTCATCTACCAGTAGAGATAATTTTACCTTCTTTTCAAGCCAGTCTTTTATTTCTTTTTCTTACCTAATTGCTCTGGCTAGAATATCTAGTATTATGTTGTTTAGAAATGGCAAAGTGGACATCCTTGTCTTGTTTCTGATTTCAAGGGGAAAGTATTTGGTCTTTCGCTATTGCGTGGGATGTTAACTGTAGCTTTTTCCTGGATGCCCTTTATCAGGTTGAAGAAGTTTTCTTTTATTACTAGTCTGTTTAGTGCATTTATCATGGAAAAGTGTTAGATTTTGTCAGATGCTTTTCCTGCATCTATTAAGTTTGTCATGTGTTCTTTGTTTCTTTTTCTGTTGATATGATGTATTGCATTTGTTTTTAGATGTTAACCCACTTTGCATTTCTAAGTTAAGTTGCACTGGTTTTTATTTGTTTCTTTGATCTTATACAGCAAGTTTTTCTTGTTTTGTTCTATTTTTTAATTTGGTTATCTGAAACAGGTGAATTGATGTATCTGATATCAAGTTAGTAGTAGAATGATGGGTTGTGTACATTGGCTCACATCTGTAATTCCAGCACTTTGGGAGGCTGAGATGGAAGAATTGCTTGAGTCCAGAAGTTTGAGACCAGCCTAGGCAACATAGTGAGACCTTGTCTTTACAAAAAGTACAAAAATTAGCCAGGTGCTGTCGTGCATGCTTGTGTACTCCTGGCTACTCTGGAGGCTGAGGTAGAAGGATCACCTGAGCCCAGGCAGTGAGCCATGATTGTGCCACTGCACTCTAGCTTGAATGACAGAGTGAGACCTTGACTCAAAAAAAAAAAAAATAGTAGAA